TGATCTTCATTTCAAGCTCGTCTCCAGCACAGCCCCAGGTTTCACACAGGGAGATTCCAGATCGTCTGCCACACTTCGACTCAAAATTTACCTCTTCTTGCGGACAGGGAGCCTCCCACCATCAGCACTCCCACCACTGATGTCCACATCGAGCCCATCTCTGCCCCTCGTCGTAATCCCTAAGAACAGCCCACAGCAAGCAGCCTGAGACTCTGAACATGGACCCAAAGTTGAAGACTATGCGCGTCCTTCATCCTGTTGAGTTGTGCTTTAGTCTTTGAACTTTGGAGTTACTCCAATTTCTGGGCACATGATGCAATCTCAGGTGAATGGTTATTCACCTTTGACCAACACCCAGGAATTATTTCATCCTGGCTTCTTCCAAGCCCACTGGCTCTTCAAGGCCAAAATTTCCAAAACCCTGATCTCCCCTCTCTGAAAGAAACTCTGATGGGACCACATGCAGACCATTTCTGGGCAGCAATGACAAAGAATTGCCAGCCTTGAAGGCAAAGGGACTTGGCACATCGTACAGCGTTCTTCTATGCCCCACACCTAAAGGCGGTTCTGGAACATGGGTGAAACGAATTAAAGAGGTTACCAGACGGACAATTAAATAAGTTCAAATCTAGATGGTGCTGCAGAGGAGACCTTCAGTCCTATGAAGGCGTCGCATACTCTCCACTTGTTGGTTGGCCCACCGTTAGAGCGGTCTTCTTCTTGCAGCTGCACATGGATGGGAATCGAGACAAGTTGATTTTACTCTTGCTTCTGTCAAAGCCCTCAACCTGTCGACCAGCCACTGACATGGAATTGCCTCAGTACTATCGACCCAAAGGCTATGAAGGACAGGACTGTGTTTTGAAACTTGACAAGCCATCTATGGGCAACCGATTCACCTAAATTATTTTATGGCATCTATGTCGCGGGATGATCCAACTTGGTTTCGAAACCCGGCAGCAGACCCATGTTTGTTTATTCATAAGGAGCATCAACTCATGTATTAAATTATTGTGATGACCAAATCTGGCTCAGTCCAGACAATGACTATTGAGTCTATGTTGGGCAGCTCCAGAAACTTGGATTTGACCTCACCATGGAAGAAAAAAGTGACATCTTTGGATTCCTCGGCATTATTTTTGAAAGACAGGGAGACAAAGTTGAGCTTACTCAAAAGGCTCATCAATAAAGTCATCGAATATACTGTATGTCTGACGCTAGCAAGAAGCTTTCTCCTTGCGCCACCGCTCCTCTCGGAGTGACAAACTGGGGGCCCATTTGAAGAAGAGTGGAGCTATCCAGCTGCAGTTGGATGCTTCTTTATATTGCGTCGAACATCGCCCAGACATCACATTTAGTGTGCACCAGGTGGCACGATTCAGTCACAATCCCAGCATTCCCATGCTCAAGCAATCAAACGTATCATTCGGTATCTGATTGCACAAGTGACAAAGGCATTTGTTTTAGCCCTAAACTTGATCAGGGACTTGACTGTTGGTCGATGCTGACTTCGCCGGATTGTATGGATATGAGGTGAACAGGATCCTGTGTCCGTCAAGTCTCGACTGGATTTTTCCTGACTCTGTTTGGGTGCCCTATTATCTGGCTCAGCAAGCTACAGACTGATATTACTTGAGTCCACTGCTGCTAGTATGTTGCCTTCAGCATGTCAATGAGGGAGCTGCTTCCTATCGAGCTTTGCTCAAAGAATTGGTAGCAAACTGAATATGCCGGTAATTACTGACAGTCTCGTGCGCTCTACAGTGTCGAAGACAACCAAGGTTGCTTGTCTCTTGTGAATGTTCCCAAAATGTCTGCGCGCAACAAGTATTTGCATTGAAGTACCACTTCTTCAGGTCCAATACGGGAGTCGAAGGGCATCGTGGCTAAGTATATTCGACTCTGGAACAACGGGCCGACATTTCACTAAGGGTCTTCCGGCTCACAGTTTGCTGTCATTCGAAGCTCCTCATGGGATGGTATTTACCTCAGCACTTTGCGGGGACTCTCTCCTATCGTTTCTTGCTCCAGCTTCATTCAGCTGTAAGGGAGTGCGACGGGATACAGCTTACAATTCAGCTTTACAGCTTTACAATTAGCAGGCTTATTCTAGAAAATAATCAATAACTGCTCACTTATTTGGAAATACAAACTTTACATCTCTTAGATCGTTAGATTAATCAATGCACAATGGTATTGTCGCAGAAAGGGACTGGAACTGTGCCAGATAGATCATTCCCATTCACCAGAAGCTCCCTTATTAGTGTCAATGCCTCAATCTCATTGGGAATAGTGCCATGGAAGTTGTTATTGGCTAGGTACAGGTGCCGGAGCTTTGTCTGAAAAAGACCAACTGATGAGCTGATGGTCCCAGTAAAGTTGCAACCATCCAAGCCAAAGAACCAGAGATTGTCAAGTCCCGTGCAGAGTTCTTCAGGAATTGTCCCTTGCATGTTAGTGTTAGAGAGTATGAGTTCCTCAAGCTGGTTTAACAGGCCAATCTCTGAGGGCAAGGAACCAGAAATCTGCGTGTAATTCAAGTTCAGGTATTTCAAATCAGTGAGCAGTCCAACTTCGCTTGGCAGTGTCCCAGTGAGCTTTAAATCAGCAGAGAGAACAAATAGAAGGTAAGCTTTGGCCATACATGGGGGTGAGTGTTCAGCAGTTACTTACGTCATTTTTTCTCAAGTAAAGGGATTCAAGTGGAGTTTGGTTGAATATTTCTTGTGGAATAGAACCTGTAAGTTTGTTGTTTGCAAGTGAAAGAGTTTTGATAGCAAGTAGACCCAACTCTGATGGAATTTTCCCGGTCAATGTGTTTCGATTCAGATGAATATTGACAAGTTTGCCACTTCCTTCAAGAAGGTTTGCAACCCATTCTGCAGGAATAGTGCCAGAAAATTGATTCGAGTACAAAGCAAGAGATTCCAGGGCAACACCTGCCTTTTTGGAAAAGAGTCCTGTTGGCAGTGCTCCAGTCAGCATGTTGTTGTTGAGCCGTAGAAATCTTAGCAGTGGCAATCTTGTGATCTCCCAGGGAAGAGGGCCATTAAGATCATTCCAATCTGAAGAATGAAGAAATCCACAGCGTCAGAATTAGGCAAATCACATATTTTTGAAAACCTTTTGGAGTCACTTACAAAGACGCAGCTCAACCACTGTCCTCTCCTCTGATTGCACAGTTTCACAGATAATTCCTGCCCACTTGCATTCGTGACTGGTAGAGAGCCACTGATCACCCCATACAAGTGATGTAGCTTCACCGGGTACATAATCTGGCCTGTAGCAAAAATTGGCAGTTGCACTCCCGTGGGGACTTGCTGCTGGGTTGCACTCTTTCCATGGCTTGTTCCGTGTGGTCTGATAGTAGAAGAGCACCAGCAGAAACCGCTGGACCAAGTTGGGAGAATCATCGTTTAGTTGCATTGGATCCTGATTGACAATCCAGTCAAACGCCTTCAGCCTGGTTTCCAGCAAGAATTCAACAAGGTCAACATCCAAATCATCTCCAGTTTCTTCCGCCTGTTGGAAGTAGCCATTTCCCAATAGGCTAACCAGGGCAGTTTCAATCTTGGGTGCTGCTACAGCATCCCTGGTTGTCGTGGACGCTGCTGTGCAGCTGTCATCCACACAGACCTTCTGACTGCAGTGTCCTGTACCACAGACAGCCCCCACAATGATAGCAGCCACAACTAAAATGGCGCAAATCCCTTCCATCAGATAGAATGCCCAGTTGCTTTCCTGTCGGGCCTTCCTATTGCCGTCCTCGGCTATGGCAATGGGTAGGTCATCCTCAATAGCAGCAACCGGTCTTGCCTCTGCCAGTGACTCTTGTGGAGGTGGTTTTGTGTTTTCTTCATCAGCATAGGCCGAATTCATGCTTGGCTGTTGCTGCTGCAGATTTTCCATGTCCAGTGTAGCAATCTGTCCGGAGATTTGATTATCGCGATTTGATTGTTGGGTGGTTGGGATTGTCTGGACAGCATAGGCTCCTGGTATACTTTCCCGCAGCTCATTTCTTCTAGTAACAGGGACGGATGGCATTTCCATAGGCATTGACACTTCTTGAATCCAATTTGGTGATGGCGAGGTGGTGTCATCATCGTCACTGAAAGTTGCAACAATATCTGCAATGGCTGGGTTGTTCTGTCGATGGAGCTTTTGCTTGTCAGAAACGACAAAGGGAGCAGATTGATGAGCATCAATCTTTCTGGCCGACCCATCTTCATTCTGATCCTTCGGGATCATGGGACCCATGCCAACGTTTGTATCTCCCATTGTTTCAACGGAAATATGTTGAACTGAGTAGATCTGAGTCTTCTGGTTGATTCGTGATTCCAGGCTTGCCATGGGCGGAGTATAGGGGGGGAGATCTTGTATGGTAACGTGTTCTTTGAGGTTTTGATTTTCATCGCTTTGTTGGTGGCTTTTACTGATACTCTTGTTATCAGCGGGGTCTTGGGGTAATTCCTCCTGATGCGGTGGCAAAACTGAATGTGTCTTCGTTGTGGTTGTTGGTCCTCGTGGCTGCTGCTGTATGACTGGCTGAAAGGTGGGATCTTCTACATCATGGGTATCTTGCAAATTTTGTAACGAGGGATACATGTGTGGGACAAACAGTTCAGAATCTTGGAGGTGAGTCGTGACGGAAGAAGCACAACTCATGTCTCCTGGTCTACTACTACGGACGTCGATCACACTGGGCGGGCCTACTACTAGCTCATCCTCCAGGTGGTGTGGGTGTGGGTGTTGCTGTTGCTGGCCAATCCTCGTGGTTGGCATACCACAACCATCGGCCCTGCCATTGACATGAGGCCTAGACATGTTGCTTTGGTCAAAGAGCAATGTATGCGAGCACACTGTTGCGATCCCTCTTCAAGTTTGTGAGAAAGGTGCGAGAGAGTTTTGGAGATCGGATAGGCAAATTGCTGGCCAAAAAGATCGAGGTGAGGCAAATCAGGATTTCTGAAGAGTAAAAGCATGAGAAGCCATAGGAATCGAATCGAATCGATAGCGGTCCAAGTTTCGGCGGAAAGTGAGTTCATTGCGTTAATTAAACAAAAGTAGGAATTAAGGCCATTTTGCGCATTTCCGAGTACTGGTACTCTGGCATGTACAGTCGTTACACTAGGTAGTCTGTAAGCGTGGCTTGTATGCTTGTATCATAAACGATACAGCTGCAAAGAAACACAATGTCTCAGACTCTCTACAGTAGACAACTATATGGTACTGGTACCAGGTGGTTATGAGATTGAATCATTCTAATCAAATCGAGTCTGATTCGAAACCATTAAGCCAGTGGCGCTGTCGAAAAAGGCTGATGATAGAGGAAGGAAGGAGGTGTTGATAGAGAGGTTGCTATAGTTGTGTGTTACTACTTGGTTGTTGTGGTTGTGGTTGATTTCTAGTAATCTGGTAACTGGATAGTCATAAATCGCTACCACAGGTCATTTTCGGTCCCCTCAAGCTAGAGGGGGATCTATCTCACGCTAGATTGCACTTGGAATGGGAAAACAGACTTCGGAAGTCTGAAACAGGATGTACCCTTGGGGCAAGGCCCCTTGGAGGCTCAGACCTGCCGTTAACCAAACGGCCCACCCTATGGTCATGTTGCCTTTTGCAGATTGTTAGTAGAGGACTTTCGAAACCAGTCGCTGTCTCACAGGCCCGTTCTGGATCTTCGTCAGCATATCCGCCAAATTGCTCTCAGTATTCTCGTATGTGATGTTTGCCATGCCTGCAGCGACTCTTTCACGGACATAATGGTAGGCGACCGAATTGCTCTTCTTCTTCAAGGTAGATTCCGGGATACTTGAGTTCTTGATCACGGACATGTTGTCCGCCTTGACATGAGCTGGACCATCGAGAGGGACTCCCATCATCCTGAGCTTGTACCGCAAGCCTTCCACAATCTCGATTCCAACCTTCATTGCTGCGAACTCGAATCCAAAGGAAGAAGTTTCAATGGAGCCCTGCTTCTTGCTATACCAGATAATTGGGGACATGTTAGCAAAGACGAGTACACCAGTACGCGAACGACGTGTCACCTTGTCCCCAGCATGGTCAGAATCCACAAACATGGTGATTTGGATTGGTTTGCCGAGAGGCTTCGGCATGTCTGGGGGCAAAAGCTCTTTCGCATCGGCATAGAAATCGCTCCAGTCAGGTCGCTCTGGTTCCACATGATTCACATAGGAAGGATCAAAAACAAGGTGAGAACGACTGTGCTGCTTGAGATATGCCAAGATATGAAACACAGCGTCCAGGTGCCCAACTCGTGGGGCTGCACAGTACGAAGCCATGATTGAAACCTCGGTGCAGATGTCAATTCTCCCGAGTTCCACGGCCCATCGTAGCACTCCAATCTGCTGTTGAAAGTAATTTGTCCACTCGTCATCACAAAGGTTTGAAACATCCAACTCCGGGGTGTAATTGCTCGGTAACACTGAAGTTGCTTTCGACTTGAGCGTCTTCCCACGTCGCTCGAGCCATGTCTCCACATTTCTGACAGCCTCCTTGACATACTGTTCAGATCCCATTGACCAACATGGTTTGTCAACGCCAGGGAGATTGTACTCCTTGACTGAAGCTCCAAGATACTGAGTTGGCTTTCCCAGGGATCCTGGCTTCAACAGGAAATGCTGATCCAGGTAGCAGAGTAAGGTGTTTGGGTTAGTTGACAAGCAAAGGAGATCATCTGTGTATACCAAAATATACTCATAGTATTCCCTTCCGTCAGGCCTGGTGGCTGCACGAAACCAGACATCATTGTCTGCCTTACAAGAGGTGAACCCCAGGTTGTCTCGCAGAACATCAGCTAAGTGGGCCCTCCATGCTGCTCCACTTGATTTGAGGCCATACAGGGCCTTGACGACCTTTGCCTTGCGTCCCTCAAATGGGCCAAATTCCTTACCGCATGTGATAAAGATCTTCTCTCGAACTGGGGCATTCAAATATGCATTGCCAATATCAGCTGCCAAGATATCCAAATCGTTCAATGCTGCAATCAAGAAGGCCAGTCGTACACTCTCTCGACTGACAACACTGGCATAGGTGATGGACGAAGGGGGATCGGTCATGTGTCCCCCAGCGACCAGGCGTGCCTTCCTTGTAAAGTCACTTTTAACGTCAAAAACCATATGGCAACGGATGTGAGTATGTCCAACTGATCAGGGGCATCCTCTTCAAGATCTCAAAAGCTTTGCGACGGCTGCCATCTCTTTCTTAATGGCATCATGCCAAAGGTTGTACCAGTTTCCTTGTCAATCTCAAGGGCATGCTCCACCGTTTTGGGAAGCTCAACCCCATATTTCTGTTCCTTGCGGAAGTAACGCTTCGCGACAGCAGAGATAATCCGATTCCGCTTCTTGAGGGTGTAAGGGACCCACCAAGAGAAAGCTGGCTCTGACTCCAAGCCATTGTTCTGTGCATACTCTGCCGTCTGAATCAGGTAACCATCTTTCATGTCCTTAAGGGACTGCCATGAGGTGGTCCCATCCTTCCACTGACACAAAAGTTTCCACCCTTTGGTGGTCCGTCGCAAAGTCTTCCTGCCATTCCGATAGATGTAGGCGTCGTCCCCTGAAACAGCGTGTCCATCCTTCGCATGGTCCAGGATATCCGCCAATTCAAACAAAGTGTAGCCGTCATCATCCACCTGAGCATAGATAGACTCTGCAATGATGTTGGCCGAGTAGGCCTCGGTCTCGCCACTGTCAAACTCCACCTCATAAAGGGAAGTATCAAGCAATGGGTTAGAATTCGAAAGACCAATCAGTTTTCCATCTGAGTTCCTCTTGCGCTTGGTGACTGTGCCATAAGACATTTGGTCTCCCTGTGGGACACAAACACGAGTTGCAATGTACTTATCGAAGGCCTCATGTTGCATCTCATCTGCTTCTGACAACTCTGGCAGAGGAGCTGGGTCACGATCATCAATTGGCTCATAATACTCTGGTATCTCTTCATCCTGACGAGATTCAGCATCATCACTGCTGGCCAAAACATAACGCTTGCCAAGGGACTTCTTAAGGGATTCTGTGAATGCTGCCTTCTTGGATTCAATCACCGGGCTCAGCTTCTCCTGGTCCGATAAGGGGATAACAGATGTCCTAGAGACCAACTGGCCCTTCTCGGTGAGGATTCGGGCACACATAGCGTCCCCAATGTCAGTGCTGGGGCCACAGTAGCGACCAAGGCGCTTCCTTTCCATTGACTCGCCCTGTCTCTCAGGAGAAAGGTACCAAACCCAATCATACCATCCAAACTCACAAATATGTGAGATGTCAGCAGTGTCCCCTGTCAAAAGAGTGGCGGGAACTTGGCCATGCAACTCTCGGATCGGTAATGCAGTGTGGCTGCGAGTCAGCCCGCAGAAGACGAAACACATGTCCCAGAGGCATTCCAAGCTGTCAGTAGTCGTCATTGCTCTTCTGTAAGTTCTCTTCAGCTCTCGGATTAGGTCTTCTGCAAAGTTCTGGTTGGGTGTGTAAGCCTCAACCGGATGGATAGGGCACTGAACTCGTTGTGCCTTTCGTCGAAACTCTCCCATAGTAAGCTCCTTCGCGTTGTCTGGAATCAGGACTCTTGGTACTCCAATCTTCTGGAAGAGTGAGTCTAAAGTCAAGTGAGCCTCCGACTTGGTCTTCATCGGGTCAACATGGCACCAATGAAACGGTGTGCAGTAGACCTGGGCACACTTGTTTCCCAGGAGGGAAGTGACCTTGCCGTAAACAGTGTCGGTATACATTTCAACGTTGAGCCGAGGATATCTGAGTTGGTACGCCAATGGCTTCATCCTCCGCCCTCCACTCGTGTGGGTGAAATCACGAACCGCTCGCTGAGTTGTGTTCGCGATGGTTTTCTTGGCTGCTTCCAACCCAATATTCCACCGCTTGGCAAGTGCTTCCGCTGACACGGCTCCCTTCCTGGTAGGGGGTTTCGTCTTGGTAGCAGAGATCTGGGCTTGAAGGGCTGGTCCAAGACTGTTGACGTCAATTGCAACGGATGATCTTGACTCCAGAATTGACCTGATCGACTGAATTCTCCTATTCCGTCCCCTTTCACTTGGCATGTCCGAATCTAAAGCGGCTCTGAGAGAGGACTCTAGGTCAGCCGACTGGGGATCTTGAGGGTTCCAAGGAGATTCGGATGTCATGTGAACGTGAACGAAGTGATCTGGAGAATTGACTTCATGGGCGGTGGGCTTCCGAACCTGGAAGTATGAGATAACACCGTCCAGTTGGAGTGGGATTCGTAGGTCACCACAAATGATGGAGTGGGATTCATTGGTTCTGTCTTCAAACGGTAGGTGCAACAGTGGCACATCGTTGACAACTAACTGGTGATGTCGCAGCTGAGCTGGACAAATGAGATTGTTCTGTAATGACTTGATAAGCAAAGATTGATGGAAGAATAAAATATAAATTTGAGATGTGAGTGGGTCGTCATAAGCCACAGCCACAGTTACAATTGGTACTTCGTGTATGGTTCCAAGATCAGTTGAAAACCCTTTATAGTCTCTCCCGTGTCATGTACCACGTAAGCACTTTCCCCAAAGGAACATGTATCGGCATGGCTGTCAAGCTCAATCCGAGATGATGGCAAATGAGTAGCAACGGATCGCAGAGTGCGAACACCAGAGACTCATGCTCGCCTATTCATCGCATTGCCCACGCTAGATCCACCAGGAACATCAGTCCGGGATCGTTTCTCGGCTTGCAATTCCGAGACTTGGGACTGGGTATCTGTCAACTGTGTCTGCAGCTCGGCAATCTTCCGCTTGTCACCATCGCGGGCGTCCCTAGCCTGTTGCTGCTGCGCCGATGTGAGCTGAGCCCACTCATCGGGATGGTAATATCTTCCTGGGTTATTGGGGTCAAAGCCCCGGCCTTCATGGCCTCGACCACGGCCTCGTCCCCTGCCTCGGCCTCTTCCAGAACCTCGGCCTTGGGACCTACCACCGCCACGCCCACGTCCTCTTCCACCACCACCTCGACCACGGCCAGACATAGATGAGATATTTCTTGTGGGTCGAGTGGGTTCAGCGACATCAATTTGCTCGGCTAGGTAATTCATAGCCTCCTGGAAACTCTCGCGTAGATGCGGAGTTGCTTGAATGACGGACTTGGCGGTCTTGAGGGTTGGGTCTGTAATGCCGGACAGAAGCTTGCGAATCTTGCGGCTCTCAGTAAAGGTTTCACCAGCGGTTTCCAGATCGGTGAAGGCCTTGGTAAGCCTTTCACAGTAGCGCTCAAAAGTGAAGTTGCGGGACTTCCCATCAAAGAAAGTAGTTTCAATGGCTCTATCCGCGAATGCCTTGGTATGAGCCTGGAACGAATCACCAAGATAGTGAACCTTCATGGCCAAGTAAGCTGCTCGACCGTTCTGTTGCGCTGCGCAACGTTGGACCCATGTCCAACCAGGTCCACCGTGAGTAACCGACCGAATGATGGCCCAAACAGCCTGATTGTCTTGTATGAAATGAGGTCCGGTATGTCTTGTTCTCCGAACCAATTCTTCAGGATGCGATGGAAGGCCAAAACCTGGGTCAGCCTCATCTGCAGTGTCGGTATCAGGTGCTCCTGGCAAAGTGACTTTAGCTCTCGTAACATAAGCCAAAGGGGCACCGCAAACGCCTTGCTTGACATTCAGCACGTTGTCAATGGATTCTAAAACTCGTTGGACATCCTCGACCTTCAAGAGTTGGGGAGGATCCGCAACATCGATCTCTTCTCGTTCGGACTCGTATAAAGCCCAAACTCTATTCAATCTCGCCAATCTGGCTTGATTGGGAGTGAACTCACGCTGGATTCGTGTCATGTGAAACTTGTAGAACCGTAGTTGTCTGAGTGGCTTCTCAAAGACAAATCCCAGCTGTCGTCCTCGATTGGGAACTTCTCTGGGCTGAACTGCTGCGGCAGCTTCATCAGTGGCTGCAGCCGCAATGGCTGGATTTGGAATGGTACCGCCTGGTTTCCTCACATTCTCGCAGATGCTCTTGATATCGGCATCGGTAAAGGTATCGAGTGAGACGAAGGCATCCAATCCTTGATCATTCAATGCTGTCCTCGTGGCTAGTTCGGCAATACCGATGGTATTCTGTAGATAGTTGTTCATGGCTGCAAGATTGCCTGCCATATTCGCCTCCAATTACTTCTTCTCTTGCGGTATCACTTGGATGAGCAACAGTTGTTGGGTCTTCTTCTCTGCTCCTATTCCAACAGCAAACTGTACACACCCAGACAAGTAAGGCTGTATTCCAGGGAATGAGCTCTGCACACCCAGTCTGTGGCAGTCTAGGCCAAAACTCTTGGATCAGGCGTCCCCTCTCCTTGGCTCAACCGGTTTCTTTGGTGACAATGAGGCAGGAATTGATCCAGACTGGAGGGATCAATATTCCAAGTCCAAACCTCTGCTTCCCACTTGGAAGTCTCTTTCTCTCGCTCCACTTGAGAGAGCCCCTTCTTCTTGAGAGGTCTTCTGTTGCTATGCCGCTTGGAGGTCTTCTCTTCTCTTCTTCTCTTGTTCCTCTGCCGATTACACTGGCAATGAGAATCTCTTCGCGTCGTCGAAAACGACGGCACTCGTCTCTTCTTCTCTTCTTCTTCTCGTCGCAATGGCAACGGCTCTTCTTCGACGATCGCGACAATGGGATACGACCGTCGCTTCGAGCGAATGGCTACGTCTTCTTCTGTTCGAACAGTAGCTCCGAATCGGCGACAATGGCGCTGCTTCGAATGAACGAACGGTATCTTCGAATCGTCGACAATGGCGTTCGAACGATCGAAAGGTAGCTTCGAGCGTTGCTTCGACGAAAGCGTCGCGTCGAACGGTAGCTCTTCTTCTTGTGCTTGTCGAACGACCGCTTGTTCTTCTATCGCTAGTAGCTTCCACGCCTGATAAGCCGAAAAAGGCTGATGATGGTGTAGAAAAGAGGTTGCTTATCGTTGTGTTACTACTTGGTTGTTGTTGTGGTTGATTTTAGTAAGCTGGTAACTGGATAGTCATAAATCGCTACCACAGGTCATTTTCGTTGGGGTCCCTACCAGTATACTAGCTAGTCTAGCTAAAGATAGTGCGGAGACGGAACCCCAGCGCATGGAGGAAAGACAATCTGCCCTCTTGATTCGAGATCTCCTTGCTGGACCGCAACAGCAACCGCAAACGACCAGACCTGAGGAGGTGTGTCCATGGCAAGATGAAGAACAACTTCAGACACAGACGACTGCACAGACGACTGCACAATGTCTTGCGATTGAGATCCACGAAGGGTACCGCTATGCATATTATGCGTTGACGGCATCAAACTCAGAAAATCCCCGCGGTTTGCTTCAATGGCCAAACCCTCCCACTGCTTTCGTTGGCTCCCGCTGGCTGGAACTGGCACTGGAAGTGGCAATCGAGTTTGTGCAAGCAGCTCTCCTCGAGCAAGATCCCATGAGCGAATGACACCGTCATTGTCATGCAAAACAAACATCATATCACCAAAGGCATACATGGAGCCAATTCTGCCATCTTGCAATCCATCAGCTAGCAACTTCTTGTTCAGAGAGTCTCGCTTAACCAAGGTAGGGCTATACTGATGCTCTAACAATGGCAAGTCCACTTGGGAGGCAGGCGGTGGCAATGCATAAAGGTTGATTGCTCCCGATACCTCAACACACAGATTGCCTTCGCCATTGGCATCGACAATGTAAGCAAGACCCTCTCCAATGTCTTCCGCTGGCTCGTCCTCGATTTTCCAAACACGCAACAACTCCAGCTTGTCGCCTTGCCATTGCAGCTCCAACAAACCCGCGATATTGCTGCCATTGTCAGGACCAGAACTCTCGGAGAGGGCAAACAGCCTTCCTTCGGCGTACACGAGCCCTTCCATGTCAGCACCATGGACATTCAGGAGCTCCCGAACATTCGCCTCAGGGTTGGATTGCGATTGCGATTGCGATTTGGATTGCGATTTGGATTTCGAATGACCCATCACACGGCCTAACGAAGGCACCAGCAGCATGTTGCGGTCGTTGTCAATCGCAATATCGCTAGGTTGATACGCAAGACGAGACACACCATCATTGGAGTGCAAGAAGCATTGCCCGGCCTCTTCAGACAGCACTGCAGTTGTTCTGCCCACCGACGATGCAGGTGCCAACAGAGATACCTTGTCGTTTGCCTTTTGAGCCAGAAGAACGGAAACGCCAATGATGATAGAACCAGCCAACAACATGGGAGCTATATGATCCACATACCCCTGAGAGTTTCCGCTTTGCAGCAAACGAACTCGTCGAAAGTACACCACGCAGGCATACAAAACCACAACCAGGGCCCCGCCACTCAATGCAATGCCTGTAAGGGTCAGATGGCTTACTCCGTTCTCTTCCCGTTCCAAAAGAAGAGCCGAAATTGTCACTAACCAGAGGGACGCACTGACCCACTGAATAAAGGTCCGCTCATTGGCAAAGTAGCTCTTGGGTTCAACACGAGCCGGCTTCTTGGGAGCTACCATGCTCGTAGCTCTCTTCTTCCAGCGGGAGAACAGACAAGATAGCCTAGTCTCACCTCTCTTCGATTCTGCTGTACTACTACTTGTCTTGCTGGCTTCATCGGGAACAGTGATGCCAGTAGAAGACCTCTCGATCGACGACACAATGACTTGGTTGGGTGGCGAAGACAAACTCCCCCGTTTACGAAAAATGTCGTCGTTGTTGATCTTGATCTGGTTTCCCCTTGGAGTTGATTTCGGAGCCATATTGCCGCCGCTGTTGGCGTTCTGTTGCTGTTTGGATGGAAGCATGAGTGCTTCAAAAGCTGGGTGCTCGCCCCAGTAGGGGAGCGTTTCCACCTTGTCTGTGTGCACGGTGCTGGCTCCTGTGAGGAACTTGGAAAATTTGGCGGCTTCGTGAATGACACCATCATCGATCAAGGAAGCAATTGCGGGAGGCATGTCGCTACCAGACAGTTTGACTTCAAAGACGGGGTTGGGGAGAAGACATCCAGGATCATTGTCTGCATCCGGCCGGCACCAACTGCCGTGAGGAGCTTGTGTTTCGTCAATGACACGAATGTTGCGATCCAGTGTGAGCTTGAGTGCATTGGAGGAAGAAGACTGGAAAGCTACTCGGGAGTAGACGGTCCGCACACAGGGACGGAGACCTTTTTTGAAGACCAAATTGTGCATCCTGGTCAACAACTGGACGGCATCGTTGAGATCCTTGCCAATCAGGTTGGGATTGGCAGCCACCACGATGGGTTTGGCTTCGTTGGCCTCCCAGATACGGCCTTCGAGGAATCGAATCATGTTTTTCTCCAGGATGATGGCCCGTTCTTTGACGGATGATTCAGCAATCCACTTTTCGTGATGGGTCTTGAGCTCCAAGAATAGCTTTGCATCGCCAACAGGACGGGGACCGTACCAACGAACACGAAAGAGTTGAGCACCTTCGAGGCGTGCAATTCGACCTTTGTACAAGGTCATCTTTGGTGAGTCAAAGTACACGGAAGAAATCGGAGAGGAAATGTTGGAACTGGTCCATAGCTGATGGCTGGAATCGTGGTCGGTATTGGCAGTGGTGAGTCGTCCACTGTGACCGTACACGAGCAGGGGCACTTGTTTGACACAGGCAAAGAGTAGCCTGTCAAGTTGAGGCTCTTCCACCCAGTACTTGGTAGTGGAGCGCTCAAAGGAGGAGGGTGCTTCCCATTTGGTCATGGTCGCGAATGTCAAGGGGTCCGCTGTGTCATTCTCCTTTTGTTGCGCCTGACGAAGACCTGTCTCTAAATGCTGAATGACCTCGTAGACGTCACTAAGAATAACAACGATATTGACTGGGAGATCATTTTTCCACGGAGCCCGTTCGTGGAATTCTTGTTGCAAGAGTGTGGAGCACTGCGTGCCACCCAAGAGATGGTCGTATTCCATGGCTGTTTCCTGCAGACTCAGTTTCTTGGGCACAAGTCTCGACTGAAGACTAGTACTGACCTGAACAATGGTGTCAGCTTGGTTTCGCAGTTCTGCAGCTTCCTCTGCAAGGCGACCATGATGGACCAAGCCGGTAGCATCGTCCTGAAGGTTTGCAATGATCTTGTCAACCTGTGTCAAGACATTTTCGGCCCAGCGGTGGGCATCACGTAGCTGAAACACCATGTCAGCTGCGAAAAGAGAAATTTCTGCTTTGAACTTTTGAATGGTAGTGACAGCGTTGTCGATAATGGTACCGTTCTCAATATCGTATGATGCCTTTTCTGTGCCGTGATATTTATCCACTGCTACCGGTACGCCGGTGCTGGCAGTTCCCATGGATCCACGAATGCTCAGGTTCATCTTCATCTTGTCAATCCGCAGCAGAAGTTGTGTTTTCCTTGCTTGCTTGTGGTATTGATAGTAGGGTAGAAGTGATGTATTCGTTCTCAATTGGTTCTTTCCTCCTCGAGAGATTGAAGAGAGAAGTAAAGATACGTCGTTGATGGAATTGTGAGCTCCGAGGTGAGTGGGAACGTCGAGAAGTGCTTCGATCTTGCGAAAGCAGCAGAGCTGACGTGTGAATTTGCGAATGACGTCATGATGATGAAGGAAAGCAGGCCAAAAACTTGACGTGGACCGATCTCATCAGGAATATATGGGGGTTTTAGAGTAGGGAAATATAAGGGGGTTTTAGAGTAGGGAAATTAGCTATGGAAGCTAGCCGGGGCCAGGCTTAAGGATGTCCCATGGGGGTATTTCTTAAAAGTGTGAAAAACCCATCCTCTCCGTGCTTTTATCGCGACAAGAAAAGTGAGGGGCCATCATTGTTGTGCTACCTTCGAACTATTCCTACTCCACCAAATGCTAGTGTCTGTTTCTTGTTGAGATATTCCACCTTATAAAGTAAACTATGCTCTATCCAACTGACCACAATAGGACACAAAATGTGTTGTTGTGTGTTCAACCAATGTAACTGCCATCGGCCCTTGAAAAACTGTTCATTCCAATGAACTGCCGTGCTGTGACACCCACTTCGCTCCATAGACAGCCAATCTTTTGTGTCCCTTTCTTCAGCATGTGCTGCACCGTACTCAACAATGTATAGTGACTTGCCATCATGTCATTGGAGTGTGCCGTTCCAGAGCTGTTATGCATGTTCCCAGTAGCAGATTAGTTTGTTGTCGTGTTGCAATAGTGAGCAGTCCAAATGGTTCGCTCCGATCCACGGAAACCCATGGCCACTAGCGAAGAACGGCACGCTCGAAAAGGAATTTCGCTGATCAGAGAAATCGAAGATCGACACAAACAGAGTTACTGCGACACTGTTTAGCGCCAAATTGCAATTTGGCTACTTACAGGTTTCCACCATGATGAGCGACAGAGTTACCACTATCCAGTATCATGATGTTGCTTGCATTGACTTTGCTGCCGCTGCCTGCATGCTGAAGGAGTTCCACAACACCACCATCAAGCCAGCGGCCAAGTATTGGATGAAGGGAGAAGGTATTCGCCCTCCCTCTCTTGAAGAGACTGACCAGCCAGCTGCATTCACTGTTGTTGAGGCAAAGAAGATCGCACGTGAGTACAAGACGCATGACATGTCGAGTAAGATGTGGTGTTACAACCTTGTTTTGATGGATGGAAGTGACACTTTGTTCAAGGCAACCACCAATAGTGGACTCTCCCACTACTTCGACGAATACCAGATCTTTGTTGGAATGACCATCTTTGTGGAAGACTATTCGATCGTCTTTCAGACATCCAACCGGTCGTACACATACAAGATGTACATGCTGATCAGGAAGATGAGCTGGAAGCTGCCTCCCCAGATGACTGGAATGATCATTCTTCCTCAAGATATGCGTGAAAGTGTGGTCATTACAGGTGTCAGGCCCAAGGAAGTCTCCACGAGAAGCTGGATTCCTGGGGTATCCATTATGTCTCTCGTTTCGGTGCTGTGGTACCACTCATCGAGGCGACCAATTCTCCTGCCGCCAACAGGGACATGCACCACCTTTGGATGCCAGCAGACAAAGGGCCTTCCTTCAAAGGTGAATGGATCCAAGATCCCTCGACTCGCCAGGAAGCGTTGTTACTCCTATTGCGGTCCATGGTGGTGAACTTTTGCTGTTGTGGCAATAGTAGTCAAGGACGCAAACTACAAAAGACCATCCACAAAGACCGGAAGCAGTTGGCTACTTGGTAACATTCATTGAGATCAACATACCTGTCTCTCCATTCATGGTTAGCAAAAAGCCAACTGGCTAGCCTGGTGTGTGAGGAAATTTGGGACAATTTTAGCGCGGGTGAATGGCGAGACATGCTTCGAGGATGGAATGAGGAGGTCGGAAGTTCCAAATTCCCACGAAATCATGGGATGGATCTAAGAGCTAATGAAAAGTTTATCTATTTGGAGAGCTTTCGAAAAAGTGAGCAAATATAATCTTAAAACTAAAACGCACTGTATCCCCCGTGGGACATCCTTAACAAATATTAGTACATAAAGAGGCTATCGGTTGGGAATACTAGTAGGAAGCGAACCGTTGGAAATAGGAGACGATCGCGATCGTCTCCTATTAGATCTAAAGGCATAGGACATAGGATAGAAGATTTCCTTATCAAAAGGATTTAGGAGACAATCGGAAGCACGTTTCACATTTCCCCAGAGGTCCAGGCACCAAGCACGGCTTTGATTCGATTCGATTCGATTCTCGCCGCATCAAGCAAACGGTGCCTGAGCCTCGCGGCATCATTCATCATCAGGAGTAAAACTTTGCCTGAGCCTTCGGGGTTCGCGGTTCCGCGTTGCAACAGCTGTCGCAAATCAGTCACTTTTATTAAGACGCACACACTCTCGATTCAAACCAGGCTGAGAAGACGCAACGAACGTCTTGGCCGTGGGTGGTGTGTTGCAAGGAAGGAAGCTGGATGAGATTTCCCAACGACAGAGACCCTATCATTGCAACAGGGTTTGGTTAGATAGTTGCTGCCTGGTTGCATTGATGGCGGTGGCAGGAGAGAACTGATGCAGGATGATACGACGAGCATCTCATAGTATCACATACATTTGACAATAGTTCTACAGTTCGTGGTTATTATTCAAAACTATTGAGACCTATCTGCTCCAGCATAACTTACATTCTCTGTTCCATTGTTTTGATGTTTCCGGTTTGCATGGTGTTTCTGTATTGGAGTTCCTCTGACATGAAAGTGCAACCAAACAGCTGTCAGGCTGCTCTGATTTGACACAAACAAGCAAGGACCGAAGTTCAGAGCTTCTTCTTCCATTTTGTTTTCCATATCATTTGCCCCTCTCCAGGATCTTATCAATCAAGTTACAATACTCTTCTTTGTGAGCCATCATGTGCTGCACATGATCACTGTCATCAAACCGCTTCACGAGAACATTGGCTCCAGCATGTGCCATACGGGTCTTGACCAGTTCATCTAGCTTTTGATATCTTGTGATGGTGTCAGCTGTGCTGTAGATAAACGCCTGAACCCTGGTTAATTGTGAAGAATTCTCCCAGTGAGACCAGAAGATGCCCAGAAAAGTTTGTTTCCCCTGGACTTCCAAGAAAAGGCTGCAAACATGCCAGTACATGGCCATAAGAAGAAATATTATGTATGCCAGGACACGACTTCGCAAAGCACCTTGAATGGCACGCTTGAAAGTTCTCAAATCCGGAAAAGCTGGGGATGAATCCAAAACCACTCCTCCAAGACGGTAGCGATCTTGTAGCAGGATCCAGTCATCCACATCCTCCTCATCACGGGGGATCTTTTCCATCATCATGAGTTGCATTCGGGTGAGAGGAAGACATCCACCGTTACTGAACGCATGACAGACCAGAGGCACCTCATCATTGCCAGCTTGGCGCAGGTGCTTGGCCGCTTCCTTGGCCACCGCAGTGGCAAATTCGTCCATCTTGATAGTATCGGCCAGCATAATGGATCGGTTATCTAGAATGGCACAGATGGTAGTGCACCCACGCTTTTCGTAGAGCTCTGCATACTTTTTCACATGACGAAACTTGGCACCAAACCAGCCAAGAAGAATGACAACTGCCTTGGGTTGTTTGCCATTGGGTGGGATCTCCACAACCAACTCAGGCTTGGATGGGTCTCGAAACAGCATTCTTGGGGCTGGGCTTTTGTTGAATGCGAGAGGACCTTTGGATTGATTGTGAGGACGCAGTCCTAAGGTGTCTTTCCAAACAGACAACATGCTCGAAACGCTGTGGGTGGTGATGAAGCTGGCCACGAAGATACTTGTCATCAAAAAACAGCGGCATGATGGCGAAGAGAGAGGGTAGCAGTACTAGCTACCGGTAGTACCAGAATGGAAGTTGTCATGTTGGATCTTCCGAGAACGATACAGTAGGCTGAATTTTGGATGTGTTCGACTTCATTCCACTTTGTTCCTGAAATCCACGATTCAATCAATTGGAAAAGTGTGCGGTCTTGAGTTCTCTGCTTTGTACGGTTACTGGTACAGTACGGTACCCAACACAACACCCCAATTTGAGCAGCGTACCATTGCTCGTTGTCTGTTGGGTGAAACTACAAGCTGCAGAGAGCAGCTTGCAGCAAGGGGGGTTAGAGTAGGTGGATATCTATGGAAGCCAGCAAGGGCCAGGCTGAAGCAACAGAAGGGTCCAAATTCAGGGCTAGGTTCCGTGGAACAATCGAATCAGGGGTGATGAATTGAGAACCTCTGCAGCTCCTGCAGCCAAGTTCTGATTCGATTCAAAAGTGAACAAACCACATCGCTCGTCTATGCAGATCTCGGATATGTAGCTATCAATCCAGCAACTGGAAAACAGCACCGCTCCGATCATCCTTGTTTGGTAGCATGCTGTGGTACGGTAGTGTTGGCGCGAAAGCCTCCAACCTCCAATGTGATGTTTAGCTGTTGGAGGGAGTACACAGGAGCAGTGGTCCTACCAAACAGACACAATGGACCGAATGTGGTCACAAACAGCTCATGAAGCCGGGGGTTGGAGAAATTAACAGCCATTCTGTGCCAAACACTGTAAACCATGACCATCACAGTGGTAGACATTGGTTGATAGTGGTAAACCATAGCATTGTCAACCACTGTCTTCCTCGACAGTCACAAAAAGAGACAGCATTTCAGAGGTAAGACAGTGTTAGACAGTGGTGAAAGTGAACACTGTTTCGCGCGAAACAGTGGTTTGGTGTGTGTGTTGAGTTTCCCCATTCCCCCTTGACCATGAAACCACTGATGGTAGCCAACCAACGCCACGTCAAGCAGATGGCGTGTACTCGTATCCAAAAATCTAAAAGCTTCTTCTTCGTGCAGGATTTAAAAGCGAATGCCGCCTACGCCACGGCGCAATTTTTTGAACGCAAAAGATTCCAAACGTTAGCCTATTCAAGTATCAAGGGTTATGGGTATTATGGAGCATACGTTTAATTATTTAAAAAATCAAAATACACCTCATCTACCCGAGAAAGTTACAAAATCTGCCTGGTTCAGGAGACATTGAGAAGTCGAAAAATGGGCTTCGTATGCGCCTTTTGCACCTTTGGACTTCAACGGCCGTGCTTTGCCGTAACAATAACTGGGAATAACTCACCAAATCGGCGCAACAAAAGACAAGAGAAGGACGAAGCTCTTCCATTTCCAACCCCTCCATCTCAAAGCACCTCAGATAATAGTCTAGTTTAGTTCGAAGTGTAATGCATCATTGATTAGCGATGTGTCAAACAGGAACTGAAACTCTGAGGCAACGGCCCGTTGCGGGCAAATCCAAAGATACCCTTGTCAGTGGTACTACTGACCGTAACCAGGAGAATCGGCCGACAACGACGGATCCAACCAAGAAGGAAGGCAAGCGAAAACTGAACAACCCCGTTTGGTCTTCCACTCTACCTTTCTACCCTCCGTCAGACAAATACTGGAGGATTGGGAACACCTGGTATGACCTTTCGTCCTTCAATCATCCTGGAGGGAAACAAGTGCTGGAGTTATCCAGGGATCGATTTGAAGATGCCACCTTTGCCTTCGAAGCGCATCACCACGACTACCAGCGGGCCAGAAAGATCCTTCAGAAATACCGAGTCCCTGATGAAGTGATTGCCAAAGAGAAAGATCACTTTGTGGATCGTCCTACACGCGAAGAAAGCAGCCAAGCCAGATTCGCTGGTCCTCGCCCTACACACCATGACAGACTCCTGGATGCCAACAATTATCCTAATTTGGCGGACGATGACGCTTTCTACTCAGTTCTGCGTCGTCGAGTAGCAGCTTATCTACGAGACGTCGGCTGCAAGGACGGTGGACCCACATGGGCCTGTATTGTCTTTTTCTGGTCCACCTTTTTCACCTGGCTCTCCGGTATGTGCTTGACCTATCACACTGGATCCTACTGGTGGGCTGCCTTTACTGGATTCTTTGGTGCCTGGTTGTGCTCTTTTGGCCATAACTGGACCCATCAACCAAAGTACAAAAATTGGGGCTGGGGCATCTTGTCCCTCGACATGTGCGGATATTCCAGTGAAGGTTGGTTCCGTGATCATGTCCTTCAGCACCACATGTTCACCAACACGCCCTGGGATCATCATTTGCATTGTATGGATCCCTTTCTCTTGACGGATCCGTGTACCCCTCGAAACTTTGTCCAGAGGAACATTAGTCCGTATCTGTTCCACGCCTTTTTCTCCTGGGGGAGCTACTTCAACTACTTCTTCCATACGGTGTGGCTGCTGCAGGGCTGGGAGGAGTGGAGTATTGGCAAGCCCATCTTTTTGATAGAACACTATCTGTTCTGGCAAAAGTGGGGATTCCATGGACTTTGCCTCGTGCTCGCTACCAACGCCGTGGTGGCCAACTACTTCTTCACGTTGTCCTGGATGAACCACAATGCGGAAGAGACAAAAGACGTCAAGGCGCGAAATGAATCCAAAGACTGGGGCGAAGCTCAACTGCGTTCTTGTGCGGATTGGTCGGTCCATCTCAACTTTTTCCAGTCCATGATCTATCTCAACCTCAATTATCATACGTTACATCACAGTAAGTGGACGATGGTGGAAGCAAGCCTTCCGAACAGAGGGATTAGACAAGGCAGAAGTTCGTGTGAGGTCTCATTTCTTGTTGTTGCTTTCCATTGTTCATGAACGCAGTGTTCCCCAAGGTGGACTTTTGTCATTACCCCAATATCCAAAGGATTATGGAAGATACTTGCCAAGATTTTGGCATTGAATACGCCCATTACAAGAACCCTCTGAAACTCTACTGGAACATGATTTTGACCTTTGGAGAAAACCCATCGTCTGTGAAAGAAATTTTGGTGTATGGAGGTGGTGCCATCTAAGATCGACAGAGCCTCTGTGTGTTCCACACCACACGTTAGTTATTAGTAATTTGATGTCAAGTCGGAAGTGCGGTGCAAACAACAACCAGCTACAGTAGAATCGAAACGTAGAATTAATGTCAGTGCTTTACAATAGGTTTAGAGCCAAATGAATGAAAGTGTCGTCTCTAAGCTAGAAGTCTTTTCAACGTAGCAACCGCATGACTGCTGGGATTCAGAAAACCATATGCATACATCTAAGACGTGTCACATTATTTTCCAGACGGCACCGTCTGTCATGGTCCGGAGGGCACGAATGACTTTGGAGAATTAAAGTTTATCCTTAGCTTTAAATTCACGTAGAGTTTGTACCGAGTGCTACAGTGGGAAAGATTTAGTTTCCTAGCTAACTAGACGGGTCACTGGCGGGTTCGACTGTCACACTGTCAAAAACGGAACACTCAGTTCAGTCTCCAAACCAAGTTCTTCACCGGTTGGGCACCAACTGAAGGGAAGTCATGGGGCATGGGTTGAATCCGTTCTAGCTTTGCGGATGACCCCAGACCAGCATCTTCGAGCCCGCGACGACAGAGCCGAGCAAACTTTACAGGCGAAAGGCTTGCACTGTTTGTCGTCGTCAACAGCAGACCGCCTTTTTTCACGACCTTTGCCGCCAAAGCAACCAACTCTGGCATATCCTTCTTGATACTCCATCGCTTCTTCTTCTTTCCGCCAACACTAGCACTGGGAGGATCTAGAATCACAATGTCATATTTTTCTCCCCGCTTTTCGAGCTTGGCCAACCAGTCAAAACCTGACGAGAGAAAGGAAAGCAGAAAAAGGGAATGAGACCCATCCTACTAGAGACCGACATCACATCGACATGAACTGAAACACGATGGACTTACAATCACCGAAGATGCAATCATGCTTGTCGTCGAACGGTACACCATTCGCTTCCAGTTGCGGCTGTACTCTGTCCAGCCATTTCTTGCTCAAATCAATGCTGGTGGTGCTGGCTCCAGCTGTCGCCGCGGCAATGCTGAAGCCGCCACAATGAGCGAAGCAATTCAACACGTGCGTTTCTTCGTTGCAGTTACGCGTCAGCCACGCTCGCTGTGGACGCTGGTCTAGGAAGATACCGGTAGACAGATCTTTGTCAAGAGAAACTTGATATGTCACTCCGTTCTCCAGGATATCGATAGCATCTGGTGCAGGTTGACCTTCCAAGAGTATGGGTCGGGTCATTCTTACTGAGCTATCCAAGGTTGCCCCTCCACTGCCCATGGCACTGCGGTCCTGATGGTGCGTTAGATAGTAGATTCCCACAGTATTGCCATCGTGAATGGACGGCAAAGGCCCTCGTGGCATTTTGTCGTCGTGTTGTACCAATAGCCACTTGCCATATCGATCCACAGTCCAACCAGGAAAACCATCAGCGGCTCCATTGATCTCGCGATACGCCGTTGTCAAGGGGTTATTTTGCAACTCGGATCGACCTAGGAATGAACCTTCTTGGTATTGTTGTTGATTGCGTCGTTCAGCGAGAATGGCAATGTCATCTGTTACTCGTTCCGTTTCCACCTCCTCGGATTCATCATGAACAAGACTTGATATTGAGACAGCATTGCAGTGCAAGAGGCGGCGATTGGCCAGCCGACCCAATGGATTTCCAGCTGGGTCTCCTCGAATGCCATCCTGGAACTGCTTCTGACATGCTTGAATGATACTATTGCACGACGAGAACTGTTCGGGCACCATGACTTTGACCGTCTGCACGGTGTCCTCTCTTCTTCCCCTCCGCAGCGTGGACGCAATATCAATGGTCAATGCATCTTTGCTCAGCGAAACCACGTTTTTGGGTTTGGGTGCCAGATTCTTGTCATTGCCAATGACAGCTACATATTCCAAGTAATCCACAAAGACATTGTCTGTGTATTCCTTTGGACACAAGATCAGAATGCCCGAATCGTCCACCTCTGTTGCGCCCGCCAAGGCAGTCCAGTATTTGCCGCCTTTCATGGGCTTTCCCTCTTGTGCTTTCAGCTCCTTCAACCAAGCCACGACCGACGGTCGGGAATAGGGGGCAAATGATGCCGTTTTGGACTTGGCCGCCGACTCGCTGCGAGCTTGGATTTTCGATAAGACTTGAGCAGTTTCAACGTCAATCTGACTTTTGTCGTCACGAACAAGGCTATGTTGTGAAGAGTGTTGTTCTGCTTCCTCCTCGGTGACGTATTCGTTGTTAGGGGAGACTTCTGCTTCCATCTCAATGTCATCCAACTCTTCTTCCAACTGCATCTCACCCAAGTCTGCATCCCCCAGGGACAAGAATTCTTCGTCATCCTCCTCGCTGTCATCATCCGTTCGAACTTGGACTTTTTTGGTTGTCATGCCTCTCATCTTGGGTGCTGGTTCATTTGCCTTGTATTCTTCCACTTCTTCCGGAGTCATGACTGCCAACAGATCCGCTTCACTGTACTCGAGGACATCCATAGATCCGTCCTCATCAGTGATTTCCAGACGTGTTATTTGTTGCTCTTGTTGGGAAGAAGTGGTCTCGTCGTCTGCTTGTTTGTCAATGGAATCTAGTAGTGGAGTGGGCACGTCCTCGGCCTGCTGCTGTTGTAGCCGTTGATACCGAAGAAAGTGTTCCGGCAGAGGCCCCACCTCTTGTACATACTCTTGCAGCTCTTCTTGCGTCATGGCACTCAAGATTTCTCGTTCTTCCTGTTCAATGGTTTCCAATTCTTGCAACTCGATTTCACCCATTTCTTCTTTATCTTCTTCTTCTGCCAAGAATAAGAATTCCTCATCGTCCGTGTCCTGATCAACTCTGACTTGGACCTTTTGGGTGGTAATCTTTCTAGACTTTGCATCCTCTGCAGCCATTATGGTTTCGGCCTTGTACTGTTCGACTTCTTCGGGTGTCATGATTGCGAGCAAGTCAGCTTCATTGTACTCCAAGACATCTCTGGATCCATCCTCATCTGTAATTTCTAGACGCGTCGTCATTTGTTTCTTGCCAGTTGAAGACGCTTTTTCTGGAATTGTGTTGGAATCCTCCTCATCGTCCACCGTTGCTGCCTTCTTGTTGTTGGGTGCTCCTCCCAGAATGGCCCATCCAGCCGGTTTGTCAATAATGTAGGCGTAAGAACCACTCTTCGTATTGGCAGTACTAGTAGTAGTAGTATCATCATCATCGGGTTCCACTCGGATTTGTCCCAAAATGACGGGTTGGGTATCGACGAGAGCATCGCAGTGTTGCGATGCGGGTTGCGTCAATCCATAATCCCGGGCCAAAGTAACCGCCAGGGGTGGTTCTACTATTGCAATTGCTGCTGTTACCGGCGTCGTTGTGTCATCTTGCTGCTGCTGATTGTTATTATTATTATTTTGTTGTTGGCGCTGCTTGGCATAGACGTATTGTTGTTTTGGATTTTGAGCTCGTTTTCGGGAACGACGATAATTGGACTTTTTGGCTTCACCGTTACTATTAGTATTGTCGGGAAGAAAGGACGCCGGCTTTTGTTCAATTTCCCGTCTCAAATCCTGGAGTGTAAATTGCTTCTTGCCAGTACCGGTATTCTTATTATTATTATGCTTGGGTCGTTTGGTAGAGGATGCCAGTGACGTGGATGATACCCGATGATGGTGGCTTCTGCTATTACTGTTGGGAATCAGGACAAAGGATGTCACTTGTGTTGGCAACAGTATTACATGTAGTAGGACAAGTGGTACCACTAGAAGTCTAATCAAGTCAGTGCGGATGGATCTTGTCAAGAGACTCATTTTTGCTTGGGTATTATATTGGCTGGTTGGGTAGATGGGTTGGGTTGGGTTGGGTTGGCTTGATGGCACTGGAAGTAAGTAATCGTGTGTGTTGTACTACTAGCTAGTATCACCTGGTTGCAATGTTTGATGCCCGGGACCATTCAGATATGATGGGTATGGTACAAGGATGGCCTTGGATACCATCAAAAAGTGCAGCTCTCCAATCGGAACAACGGCCATCAAGGATCAAGCAAGGATGGATGCAGATTTTGACTGGTCCAGATCAGATTTCAATTTTGACTGGTCCCCAGCTGCCCCCGATGTCTTTTTGTTCTTTCGATCGTGTGTGACTCATAGTTTTACCACTACAGCAAGACAGCTCTGATTCAGGTAGATTAGATAAACCAATTATTCAATGTCTTACCGTTTACCCCAACTACCTTTTTTAACTGTCTTGCAGTGAGCTCATGGCGGCAAAAAGCAGTTCGCCGAGCCCGAGCAAACTTCCCGAGCGCGACCGATGTGACCGAGTGACGCTTCGGCCATCACAGCTTCCATCACAAGCACACAAAAACTTCCACCGGCAGCAACACAAAGCACAGGCAACTAATTTGTCGTGTAGTGTTCTCACAATCTATTGAATCGCTTCGGAACAACAAACAAACAAATGACACGGCTACTCCAACACCTATTCTTCACATGGCTCTCTTGCAGTCTGGCAGATGCGTTTACTACGGCTCCCAATCAGTTCCAATCCTCCTTTTTGGGACAGTCATCACCATCACCGTCACCATGGCACTCTTCCACTAGTATCTCCAGTGGAGGGACATTCATGAGAGGCGGCACCATCAAGATGGACATGGAAGAACCATACAGCCACGCCAAAACAAAATTCAAGGTGCCCTTGCCACAGTTCCAGACACATTTGCACATTCCCAAGCCTCCACAACAGCAAAAACAAGAACAAACTGTGCTTGATAACAAAAACAGGAACATGCAGGAGATCGACCTAGCTCTGGCCCAACATGGCATGCCTTGGAAATCTTCCATCGATCCTACATATGCCAATCCCAGAGACCCCACAAGCCAAGAGTTGTTTTACATGCCCTTTTTCGAATGGCAACTCGATTTCATGAAGACCCACTTGACCGATCTACGTCTTGTCCCGACCGCATCCCAGCAAGGACAGGATTTGACCTACCTTTCCAACCCCGATCAACAAGTCCGCATGGTCACCTACACATTTTCATCCAAAGAATTCCGCAAAATACGCATGACGGTATACGATGCCGGAAATCGCACTCAAGTCTTTACATCCTTGTGGTATCCCAACGAAGACTACAATCTGCCCGTTTTGGGAACCGATCTACTCCAATTTGCCTCTGGCACGCGTCACCTCTGTGTCGTTGATTTGCAACCCACTTCTTCTTCTACTAAGAAGTATGAACACTTGTTGAAACCCATTCGAGACCACTATCCATCACTACAGGGGCGCATGACCAAACGATTCTACGATGAATCCCAATTCTTTTCCCAACAAATGCTATACAGTCGATTTGACGATTGGCAGGCATCACAACAATCACATCCTGCCTACACGGACTTGTTTCCCGCCTACCAACAATACGTACAAACACACTTGTCTTTGATCCAAACTGCGACACCCAATCCTCACACTCGGCATTCCGTACGACAAGGACAAGCCGCTTACGATGCCTATTCGGCTGTACGAGATCCGGCCCATGCCATGTTTGCCAAGGTATTTGGACCCGATGTGGCCGATGCCTTTGTCTACGATGTACTATTCTCGTACAGTAAAGAACATGACCAACAACCACAAGTATAAACATGCATGCCTGCAGACAGACAGACTGCCCTGTAACAATAGCTAAATAGTTTCATAAGAATCATAATACAAGAAGATCGAACGTAATACTATAAGAGACCAAGTTTTCAGCTCTAGCTAGCTAGCTGGAGAAGCAAGCCGTGATCGGCTGCTGTACAGCTGGTCGTTCGCTAATAACGAGAGCAATATAAAACCACAAACTCAACTGTCGAGCTGATTGGCGTCGTCCAGCCGCCGGAGGCTTGGATTGTTTCAAATCAAATCATCGTGCACTAGCTAGGGCATTCGCTGGCAATCACACAGAAGGCTAGGCTGGCTAGTGGCCGCAGTCAAAAAATGACAAGACCTCCTCCAACCTTCATCCACTGCATCCATCCCATACGGATGCAACGGCCACAACTGTCATTCACAAACGGCTCCATGAATAGTGACAGAGAAGAGCGGATTCCCTTCCACTGTATATGTATGGAGTGATGGCAAACGAAAGCAAATCAAGAGGCACTGTTGTTCCTGTGATGAGCAAGTTGTTTGTTTGTTGGCAAGCAAAGGTCAGATGGCCAATACCGGAGTACACCACAGTTGGAACTGGCTGTCCTGGAATGCTAGCTCTACAGCCTCGACAGCAGGACAAAGCTCTGTTGTTCCGGTTTCTAACAGGTTGCCCCTTAGATTGAGTGAGATGGTAAGATCCATACGAAGACAAACTTCACTTGGCCCTGTCCCGATGAATTGGTTTGTCTTCAAAGATGATACTAGTAGTAAGTACGAAGTAACCCGGGTCCAGGTTGTGCTTAACTCAGCAAGATGATCGACCTACATGTAACCTTTACAGTGGCTTGTCCGAGAAAGCCTCTGGTCTAGTTTCTTTTGAAAGGCTGCCACAACACAGCTTTTGGGATTCCATTCCCTTTGTACCTACCGTACCGGTACCAGTCACTCCTACATTGATTTTTAATATGTTGGTACCGTAATGAAATCTAGTTCCCTTTCAAATAATCGTGTATATCAAGGCTACTGGCAAAACTCGATTGCCCTCTACCGGTACAAGCAGCTCTTGGATCTTATTGCAGCCTACGGTATGGCTCCTGGCTACCTCACCATGGAACGTACATGTACACGCACGCTGGTTTCCCAGCGGAAGTCGAAGCTTATGTAATGCTCTCTGGGAACTGCACTGCGAGGTGCTTTTCTAATCCATTGACTTTTGTCGCCTGGTCAACTCTGGCTCATACGACTCTCCAACTCCATTGTATTTGGCAAGTTCCACCACTGGCAGCTTGTCATAAGAACCAGCAGTGGCAGCAAATGTATCTGCAGAATATGAATTGTTGTCATTGCATGGCAACAGATAGGGTTGCACTATAAAGTAGATATGCATCAGCATGCCCGACCAACACCACATGCTGGCAATTTCCATGGAACCCCCATAATATGAATTCATGCAAAATGCAAGGGCAAACATGAAAAGGGCCATCCCGGCAAAAAATCGCTTGGGCTTGCACAATATGAAGGAGGAGAACAGAATAATGTAGCAGGTGCCATTGGGGGTCAACCAACTATTGGCTGTGGCCAAAGTCCAAAATAAGTGACCATTCTGTCCTACATACATGCAAGTCTCCGAGTTCTGGAAAAGCTGGTAGGCCTGCCTTTGTGTTTCAAATCTTGGAGGTGGTGGATTGTAGTTGTCATCCAGCAAATGAGGAATGATTTCGAGAATGTAAATCATAAGGTGCCAAATGGGTAGAACAATGGCGACAACCTCGATGCTGGCAAAGAGATCCCGATTCCGGGGGTGTCCCACTCTTCGACAGGGAATAGTACACAGCAGAGGCTGCCAGGGGTAAACCAAAAACCAAATGACCATGGTCAAGTTGCGATTGTAGGCAGAACATGGTGGTCCTTCTTCGGCCGTGACAGGTAACAAGGTGGTATCCAACCACACAAGAGCCTCGACTGTTTCCACCATCAAAATGGATATGAGCAGTGGCATCACCCATAGTTGGGCTCGAATATAAGGGTTTGTCGAATTCTTGGCGCGCCGGTAAAGGTAGACGATGCTTGACGCTTCCAAGAGGGCAAACGCCACGGATACCTCAAAGCTCCAACACATCTTCTCTTGATACTTGTATCCAGTTACCGTATCAGGCTCAGGTATGTTTCGAAACCAATGGAAGAAGCACTTTGTGGGGGATCTTCTTGGAAGTCGTGTTGTGAAGGCAATGGCACAGCATGGGTTCCCGTGTCCGGTGTCCAACGGTCACGTTTATTTAAGCCAGCGAGCTGCGAAGAAGGATTTCCGCCGAAGAGGTAAAAAGAGCTTCCCACGCCAAATGCCTTGGGGCAATCCAAGCTGACAACTACCGGTAGCAAGAATAGACAACTTGCTTGAAAGTGACCTAGCTAGACAGTCACCTCAATAACTTCATCCATGTGGGGTTAAGGGGTTTTAGAGAAGGGAAGTTATCTACGGAAGCCGGCAGGGGGGCAGGCTTAGGCAAACAAGAGGTGCAATTCGGGGTGGGTTCCGTGGTATCAGGGGCGACAAATTGAGACCAACATGGGGGCCAAACGCCAAAGAGCTTGACTTGCTTTGCGGGATCCACGTAGACATAATGATACATTAGGTAGAAACCACCAGAATATGAATTTTCACCTTGTGAACCACTGTCTGTGCCACCGATTTGTTACCATCATGACGCCCGTCCTTTTGGCTGTGAGGATTGTTTTTCGCGTTTCGCGGTGGTGGTGAGTTGCCCACAGGCTGCGGATTCATCGTCCCCTCGTGTCACCCGTACAAATGCATACAAGCCATGCTCATACTGGAGTCGTTGCTGGAATGCAGTGCATGCCTCTTTGGAAGGTTTTTCAAAAGATACGACATCAATGGGATTGTAAGGGATGACGTTGATGACCAGCTTGCATGCCTCGACCGAGTCAATGATAACTTGAGAAAACGCGGCCAGTTCGTCGGCATGATCCAAATCGTCATTGACTCCTTTGAGCAGCACCACTTCCAACATGACGGTTCTCAAATTCAGAGGTCGTGCATTCAAGGCATCAATCAAACCTTGTCGCAGTTCGCGCATGGAATAATTGGTGGTGGGTACCAATCGTTTGCGCAATGCGTCATTGACGGCATGGACGGACCACGCCAGCACACAGGGTGCCTTTTGAAAGAGTCCAAAACTGTCGGGAGTGGGCGCCACGGTGGATACGACTGTTTTGCTGGCCGAAAGTTGAAAGAGACCTCGACTGGTGAGCAGTTGTGTGGCCCGCACGACATTGTCCGCATTGTCACTGGGTTCTCCCAACCCCATAAACACTATATTGGTAATTTTTGGCAGATTGTTGAGGCGAGCAATTTTTTTGGCAAAGAACATTTGCGCCACAATTTCATCACAAGTGAGGGACCGCAGCTTTCCCATGCGACCTGAGATGTTATAAAATTAAAAAAAGCAAAGAATGGAGTAAGGAATGAATTAGGAAACAGAATCGAATCGAATCATACCAGTGTTTCCAACATAGACTATTTGGAAATCTCACTCCATCCTTATCAATGGACTCACCAGTAGCACAAAATTTGCACCCTTGACTGCATCCCACTTGGCTACTGATACAGAGTGTCGACCGGACTCCTTCCCACGGAATGATAACAGTTTCTACTTCCAGTCCATCCGCTAGCTTGAGCAACAGTTTGGTAGTCAAATCCTCACTGATGGAAATAAGTGACAGCGAGGCCACACCTCCTTCCACTCGTCCTTGCGGATACAAACTGGCCAGGCGCTCCAGGGTTTTCGAGGATAAGTTTTGAGTGCGTCGACAGGATGGCAACATTTTGCAGAATTCCTCTCGATCACTTTCTGCCATGGTCCCTCCAAAATAGTCGTCCGGATCGACGCCAATGGAATACAAATCCCAACAGATCTTGGCTCGACCCATGCCACCCAATGCTTCCGATAATTCTTCCAATGATAAGGATATGCCTCCTAGCCTATTTGGTGTCACATTTTCTTTTTCTGCATTGAGGGCATCTTCTTTCTCGGTAATGGAGGCAGAGGATTTCAAGGCATCATTGGAACTCCTTTCCAAAGAGGATCGCTGGTTGGACAAGAGAGTGAATGCCTTTACAGAGGATAACAAAGGCCATGCCAACAATAGGACAAACCGATCTATTCTTCTTCTTCTCGTCATTTTGTTTGATAGTTGCAGAATGAAGACGCCCTCGATACAATATTATGATGGCAACTGAGCAACAGCAACAGCAGCAGCACCTGCAACGATCTTGGGGGGCAGCAAGGCTTTTGGCGTCGGGGATCCGGGAGACTGACGTTCTTGCTTGGCGTCAAAAAAAGAAGTCGTGAATAATTCGTGACTTGCGGCATGTTTCCTTTCGATGCTCTCATTTCCTGGTCAAGTCACATTTATTTCAAGAAGAAGATTGTTCACCATGGCGCAAGACGAAGCAAGCACCCCAGCACTACGTGTCCTAGCAGCGGACAACAATTCCGTTTCAGCAGCACAAGCCATCGCCAATGCTGCTCTCACCGAAGCCTTGACAACTCATCAGCATCAACAACAACGTCGCGAAAAAAACTCCAACGCCGATGCGACAACAACAATCACCGGAGAAGAAGGCCAAGAAGGCGACAATGGAAACGCCACCAACTCTTCCTTTCCGCGTTCTTCGCATGCAGTTTTGCGCAAGAAACAATCATCGAGAAACCATGGCGACGACGACGACACGGACAAGAACAATGGATATTATGAAGCCAATGACGACCATTCGGTGTCCGACAAAAAAGAGAGTGGCGGTGTCTTGTTACAAGACAAGTTGAAGACTATTTGGAACTTTATCGATGACAACAACGAGGAGGATGATGCCGAAGCTGTGGATCTGCACCAGCACTTTGAGGAAGCATATCAAGCCACCTTGTCACTCATTGTGGAGCAGCTCGACTCCATCACACAGGAAGGCATGCAAGCCTTTCGTCAATTGGCACAAGTCAAGCGGGAATTGACGCTCTCCAAGGACTTGGTGGATTCCAAAGAACGAGAATTGAAGCGATTGCGGGACAACGAAGCCCACCAACGATCCACTATTGAGAACCTTGTGCGAGCCCTTGGCAAGACCAAACGAGATGCCAATGACGCTTCCAAAGCCGCCATGGTCGAGTCCCAGTTGCGCTCCGAGATCCAATCCTTGATGACCGCAAAGGACAAGGCCGTGGAAGATGCCAACGAGTCCAAGCGCAAGCATGAGCTCTTGCAAGGCGACCTGGAACAAACCAAAACCAAACTTGCCAAGGTGGAGCAGGACAAGGTCAAGCTCGAACGGGATCGAAATGCCACCATGACGTGGGCTCGGAGTGTGGACAATCACGTCAATTCGGACAGTGACTTTTACAAGCGAAAGGTTTGTGTGTGGTGGTGTGGTTCTTGATGGGCTCTATATCCTTCTGTCACCCGAGTGTGCTTGCGCAAAGCTCCTTTATAATCACGTCATCTTGACTCACACCGATTCGACACTACTTCACCATCGACCAACAGGTCTCTGAGCAGAATATTCAAATCCAGAGTCTCAATGCAGTTGTCCATGAGAAAACTTGTCAAATTGAGGATTTGCGGCGGCAGTTGGATCGATCCAGGAGCACGAATCGACTGGCCCAGTTGGGAACATCGCAGACTACTGCGAGGGGCACTGCCAAGAAGGCACGAAAGCGATCGTACTAGCTAGCGAGCGAGCTTGACCAGTACGGAATGTGCAGGGATTGATTAGAGCAAGGAGCTGGGTTGCTGACGAAGGAGCAACAATGGTTGTACTTCTGCATGGAAGGATGGAGGTTTCGCAATCGTTCAACCCGTTGGTTCAACAATGAATGCAATGGCAACTGCTGAAACACGCAGACATACGATTGCTGTACAAGAGTGCTGTCGCCGCAGCCGTCGCCCTGCATAAATCAAGGAAAACAAGCAACTTGTGAAACTGCCACATAGCTACTTCCTGAATGTTAGCTACTAGAACGCACGGGATATTTTGTATCTTCAGAACATGCGGTCCTTTCCTTTTATTATGTCTCTGTCATTGGTTTTATTGGTTCACAACCCGGCGATTTCGTTCCACTACCGGAGTTTCTTCGAATGTGTTTCTCTTTGCTGAAAAGCAAGCGCACGGAGATCAATGATCGTCTCAGCAAACATACCGAGAAGGTTGAAGCCCAACAAGATGAGCAAGGGAATAGAAGCAAAACATGTCACCGGCCACAAATTCCTCGTGGCTGGTCGCCAATGCCAACGGTAACGTAACTGAACCAGAAGGCGAGAAGTCCGCGGCATCCAAGCCTCCCAATCGATTGCTCTTGTAGGCTCGCCTGGAAACCGCCAAGATCAACATCCATAAGATTATCACAGATCCAAAAGAGAGATGGGGCCCGAGGCGAGCATTTCAAGAACATGTCCTCTGCGGTGCTTTTTGTTTTCAGCCACAATACCATACTGAGAGTGTTACCTAGCTAGTAATACCGGGTACTCAGTGGCGGGTTGTGGGTGTGGGATGTGGGATGTGGGATGGTTGTTGGTTGCTCTTGCAGAATTCCGTGGAAGCTCTCCAGTGGAAGGTGGCCTGATCTGGCTGGATCTAAGTTTGCTGTGCTTATTATTAAAACGGCATTTTTATATAAATCACTTCATTTCTTTGTTGGCCACTGAGTTTTAACGAGCGAGGGGGTTTAGCTCTCCAGTAAAAGGACCGGGTGGGTAGCCTTGCATACGGTACGTACACCAGGGGGGTGGCACAAATCAGCTCCAATTGACTGTTTGTTTCCCTCACCTTCCTCGACCACTGGCGACCGCCTGTTGGTCAGTCCTACGTACCGTACTCAACCACCTTCTTCCGACTCGCACCGCGCTCAACCGCTCGTTTACCGCCTTATTTAACTCATTTAACCGCCTTCTACCGCCTTTGACCGCTCGCTCTCAACATGGTGGACCAGATGGCTGCAAGCGATCGAGGGAGGTGAGGGAAACAAACAGAAAAGTGGAGTTGATTTGTGCCACCCCCAGTTGTTTGAGTACATGTATGTATGTACTGCAATCTTCAAAAAGTGCAGAGAACCTCTCCTTTTCCATTGGAAGTTGGAAGCGAACAGAAGAAGTCGGAAGCGCTGGGCAATCCTAACACAATTATTAATTTTAAAAAAGCGAAGTGCCGTCCCTGTCATTAGTGTTGATCCAGGCAGGGAGCCTAGTGAAGAATTGTTAGTAAAGGTTTGTTATTAACAATTATGAGCATGGTAACTGTCCCAAACTGGAGCACACAGGCCCAGCTGGGGAGTGCCAACTCTAACAGCTGCTAACGGTTTTGGCTACCCTGCTTGTGGGATTACAAGCAGGGTGAGAAACTAGGGGGCTTGCTTGCATATTAATAGTGGCTGGGATCTGGTACATGACTCAAAGACTTAAGGGCCATGGTACCAGATCAACACACCCTCACACTATTAAGTGCGCATTGCCTTATTTGAGCGATGTGTCATTGCTCTTCGTGTTGTCGTGTAGATACTTATTCCTTTCCGCTTGCAATACACGGCTCTTAGCCTTATTCGCGACTCGATCCTAGATAGGGTTTGAGTTCGACTCATGACTGATCTTTCAGTGAATAGTCATTGAGACAGGGTTTCTCATGACCGCTAGTCATACTAGGTCGATGGTGAAACATCGCGCTAGATATTTAGCTGGCGTGGAGAGATTCCACGCTACTAGATAAATGCTAGACGAATCTTCACGCGTTACGTTTTAGGATCGTGAGAGTAGGATTGCTACCGCCAACCTACTCTATCCACTCTACAGTCTCCCGCGGAGTTCAGATCTACGACTTTGATTGTGGATCTCTCTCGTTGATTAGTTTTTCATAGCTTTCTAATACCTTCATAACCTTTCATTCCTCAAACTCAAAACACTCGAAAATCTCTTTACACTAGCTTTCTAGGCGTAGTGCATTTTGGTTAACAAACACATAGGCTTTCAGGCTACCTCAACCTATTCCTCACCATGAAGGATTGCCAAAGCGCATACACCAGCACTTCGAGTCCAATATCGCACGTGACAGAAACCAATCCTTCCCCATCCCTCAGCTAGACTCGATGATGAATGCGAAATCGACGATTCTCGCTCTAACCACCTACAAATTCACTACTGTTCCAGCAGATGCCAACAGTGCCAAGTACACCTTCTAAGGTCAAAGCATCAATGGATCTAGACTCCACGTTCAGACCATCAAGTGGCTGGACGTATGGAGAACGTCTTCTCGGGCTCGCCATTCTACGCCTGACGACAAACACAAACCTCCTCAGGAGATGACTTCTTAGCTCTGCAAGAAGCAGTTACGAATCTAACTGTGCAGGCCATCTTGAAAGTACGTTGGAATGCTGCGCCAGATTGCAGTCAACAGCGATCCTCCACGCGACTACGGCGGTGAAGACGAAGCCATTTCCAAGCACGTTTCCAGGACTGCCGTGGAACAGCAGCAGCTCAGCCTGCTATTGGCGACGGCCGACATTACGGTTGTGCCATAAATGGCCTGTATCGAAGCGGTCTGTCCCTACAAGGCTCTTGAAGAGACAGAAACGCTTCATGCGCGCGCAAGATGCGAAAGCCTGATGATATGTCTCACTCGGGCTTATGTAAACAAACTCAGTCGGATGAACACCGATCGAACTTCTCGTCTACCATCTTATCTTTGGCCCACCAAACTTTAACCATTACTGAAGTCATTGACATTGTTTTTCATGGAATTCCACGCTCTGGATGAAGAAGATGGACGAACACGACTTCGATTCTCTTTCTCAGCTCCTATCGGAGAAGCCATG